ATGGATCACTAAGCTTTGCTAAGCTGTGAACGTTTTAATACTTGATACATATTTGAAAGTACTTATTCAACTAATCTTGAACAACAATGAGGAGCATTAGATGATACATGAACGTTCCACGAGTTCATTAGCTATTGATTGGAGAATTCATTCATTTCTGCATTTGATCGTGAACCAGTTTAGCAAGGATTGCACATGGCATGATATATGTAGCATGAATTGCATAATGAAAATATTAACGATTTACTTGTTCATGAATCAATAAATTGTTAATGAACTATTAGAGCAGTTGATGAATGAATGAAACTTATGAATTTATTTATGTAATTGCTGATGAACTAGTTCACTAGTTGATGAGGACATTATACAATAGTTCGCACTGCACATGAACAATTCACTAGTTCATGAGCAATATATGCTTGAAAAGCTTTAAAAATGTTTAATAAACTAGTAGAGCAGTTACTGAAAAAACAATTCTGCTGTTTATAAAATAATTTATTTAATTTGCTCAAGTTCACAAGCTGTTGAGCCCATCAAGCAACAATTTGCACAAACAACAACAAATGAGCATATGAACGATTTACTGGTTCATGAATAATACATACCTAAATAACTATTTCAATTCATCATGAACTGGTTCATCAGTTTATTTGCCCACAGCAAATGAGCCAATCACCAATTAGTTATTCATGAACTAGTTCAGCAGCTCATTAGCAATGCATTCGAAAAGAACTAGAGTTGAACCCATTAAATGAACTCTCGAGCATCGCATCGCATCGCTCATTAGCTAAGCGAATCGCTCATTTCACGCAAACTGAGCTCCAGTTCCAAATAAGTGCTGTTGACTTGGCGTTACTTAAATGCAAACACCCAAATCTAAGCGCACTTAATGCGTGTGCATCATCCCCCGACGTGAATAATGAATAATTCAGCTGCTTGAGCTGCATTTAAATGGGGATTATGCAAGGTTTGTGATTGCATTTGACTAGTATTTAACATGCTGTGGCTTTTAATAGATTTAATCGCATTATTTTGGCATTTGAAGCATCAATTTTATTATTTCTCTCGGCAGCTAAACGAGAACAGCAACAACAACTAGTTCATACTAGTTCATTTATGATGTGGCCGTAAGTTCACAAATTGCTACACATTTCAGACAATGTTGACTGCAAATTGACGCTGCTCACGGAATTTACATGTTCACCCACAAAAGGTTTACCACAAAGGCAGAGGAGGAAGAGGAAGAGAGAGAGAGGAATAAAAATGAAAAGGTAAGCAACTACATTAAACTTTGATCAATGCAGCCATAACTTTTGACCTATTGTAGCGCATAAATTACGAACTTTAAATTATTCACATATTTTCCATCAACACATTACGCTAGCTGTCTCGCTTTAGCACTCTCTCCCCCTCTCTCTCTCTCTCTCTCTCTCGCTCACTCTTAAGTAGCTGCTAATTTGGGCCCGATTGGCGCATTTCATTCAAACTAACCTCATGGAATGAAAGGGCAAAGCAAATGCAATTTAGCCTGAATAACTTTATGAGTGAAGGAAGTACACACACACACACATGCAGACACAGACACATGTTTATCTCTAGACATTTGGCACTCATACATACATACATAGGCCATGCACATACTATCGCATAAGTGCGTAAAAGATATTTTGTAGCTGGGATAAGAATAAAATGTGCTTTACTGGCACACCAGCTGTTGCTCCTCGGTGCGTCACACGTCCTTGTCGTCCTGGCTGGGCAAGTACACCTACACTTTCGTTGCTCGTACATCAAAATGCGCAGCAGCCGTCTCTGCCGCAAAAGGCTACAAAATTCAATTTACTATGCGCGCTTTATGGCCAAGTCCTGCCCTGTACCTACACACACACGCACACGTACACACACACACACAAATACCCACTACCTGCCCCCTTGACGACCGTCAGCATCCCAGTCAGGCGCAACGAATCAGACTTTATGGCACTCAGCCATCGTCTGCCCGTTTTCGTGCTGATTTCCATGCATGCCACACACTCTAGCTCGCTCTCGCTCTTGCTCTCTCTCTCTCTCTCTCTGTCTGTCTCGCCTTGTGAGTGCTTCCAGCAGAAAGAAGCCATTACAAGTGCTTGCTTATTAAGTTCCATGGCTCATTAGGCGCTGACAATAAACGCTGTCAAAACACCAGAATCAACAACAACAACAACAACAACCAAAATAACAACAACAACAACAACACAAGACTGCTGCCCCGCAGCGCCCAAATGAGCGAAGCAACAAGACAAGCCGCCTAATCCGTAGCGCATTATCTAATTGTCAGTCTTAGCAGATGATTACTGTACTAATTTCTCTCGCATAACCTGAGCCTAGCCAGAAGAATTCGTAAAACAACAACAACAACAACAACAGCAGCAGCAGGACCTGCTGTGCGTGTGTGTGGGTGTGTGCGTGTTTGACTGGCAAACAGACTAAGCCACCGCTTGAACCACTCGCAATCAGCGGAATTGTAAAACCGTAAACAACATGAGCAGGACGGAATGCACGCACGGACGGAGCCGCTAACGGGCGGAAGAACGGTGGCAACGCTCCATCGGACCATCGAGCCATCGAGCCATCGAGAGCCATCGCTCCATGGGTCCATCGGGCGGCTGCTTTGGGCAGCCAGCAGAAAGAGGCGCAATCGAAGCCTCAGCGCCACAATCGAAATTGCAAATGTTTACAATGTGTATGTCCCTGTGCGTGCGTGCATGCGTGTGTGTGTGTATTTGTATTTAGCGGGAAAATGTTGAGGAAATTGGAAAACTGGGAATACGAGTGCGTACAGAATATGAAAGGGAGACGGGACGAGACGAGGGTCGCGGCCATATCACGCCAGCGGACATTGAGCAAAATATTTGGCTATGTCTTGTTTTTGTTTGCTCATGTGTGTGCGTGTGCGTGTGTGTGTGTGTGTGTGTGTGTGTGTGTGTATGTGGTTGTGCGTAAGCTAGCAATTGTTTGCATTGGCAGGAATGCGCTGCGCTGATAAAGCAGCGAATTATCTCGCCAACCAATCAAACCCATGATTTATTTACGCTCGATTCTGACCCATATTCCTCAGCCAAATTCCCATTCTTGACTCGCACAAGGGTTAGCTTTTTAAGATTTTTCTATTTTCAGTTTTAATGTTTTACTTTGAAATCTAAGAGATTTGATCTAATGAGATTTTCCATAGATTTCCTCAATAATTTTGCCCTTGAATTTTAATGCGATTCGCCTTCATAATTCTTCCTACTTAACTCATACGGCCTTACTTTATCTGACTATGGCATTGTCTTACTAACTTTTCCAGTCTTTCGATCCTTTTATATCGGTCTACAAGAATTTACTTTCAAGTCTAAAAAAGACATGATCCTATGAGAGTTCAAATTCCTTCCTTTTGAAATAGTTTTCGCAGTTTGTCTCAATCGGGCATCAGCTTTTAAGATCTTATTTTCATTTAATTGGAGATTTAATCAAATTGCTTTTCTTATTCCTTTTTAGCCTTCTTCTTGCTGTATTATTTTATTCCTTTATTTTCCTTTCTCTTATGCCACAGTTAAATAAGGTATAGATAGCTATGGATATATTAGGCTAGTTTATTTATTTTTTTATTTTCGATCAACTTTCTTATTTTCAAATCTATTGAGAATCTTAATCAGACGTGATTCGGCTTGATGAGTTACTTTATTTTAATTCCTCCTCCTCCTCTTCTTCTTCTTCTTCTTCTTCTTCTTCTTCTTCTTCTTCTTCTTCTTCTTATGGCATTACTTTATCTGTTAGTCTCTTAGCTTTTCGTTTTTATCTACATCAGCTTTAAGATATTATCTATCCTATCTAATTGGAGTTTAATCAGACTCGATTTCATTTTCCGTTTATCCTTCTTTAATTTTAATTTCAATTTCTTTTTATTTTCCTCTTCCTCTTATCTCAATCTATTGTATTTACGAGATCAGCTTTCTTATTTTCATATCTCATCGGAGTCTTAATCCAAGCCGATTTCATATTCCTTCGCTCCTCTTCCTTTGTACGACTTCGGTTAGGGTACCTTGCAGTCAGTCTCTGCCAATTGTCTGCCAATATATACATTTCTTATCCCATTATTACTTACTTTTCAGCAATGTTTCCGTTCATTTAGCTCTCTCGTTTCTGTATTTCTTAGATTCCTAACTTTATTTTTGATAGTTTTTGTGCAACTATTTTAATCGGATCGGAGTTTTGCTGCACAGTTATTGCTTCCTTTGCTCAGCCGTTATTTACCTTCAACTTTCACGATATCAAACTTTCTATCTATCTAGCTCTGTCTCTCTCTCTCTCTCTCTCTGTCTCCCTCTTGGTGTCTTTCTATAATTCCATTTACAGTCTGTGGCTGCTTCGTTGCACTGCCGAACCTTTCCAGCGCCTTTTTAATACCTTCAATTTGATTCCCCTTGCGCTTAAGCCAAAAACTTTTTGATCCTATTGCCAAGACGATGCACACACACACACACACACGCACACATTCCCCACTTGCGCTCCCCCTCCGGCTGCTGCCCGCCCACACACTTTTGCAATCACCAATTAAGCTCTGTTTAAAGCACAATTAAGCTGCTGCCGCTGCTGCTGCTCCAGAGCCGGCGAAAGGCGGCCAAGCTGGCAGCAAGCTCATCATCATCAATGCAATTATTGACTACAAATCTCGGCGCAGTGCTAAATGCCACAGCAGCAACAACAACAACAACAGCAACAACAACAAGCAGGCAACGAGAATAACGGGCACAACAGCGAAGTGAACAACAAGCGAACAAATCGACGGGCGGTCAGACAAGGCGCAACATCGGACCCAGACACAGCCACAGTCCGAGGCACTGGCCCCGGTCCAGGTCCAGGTCCAGGCGGCCGGCATGGAGCGAGCTGGGGGCCAATATACGCGGCCATGCCAAAAACTGGGGCACAGCGCCAAAAATGTGGGGCACGCGCGGGTGGCAAGTGAAAAATTGGCCACTGATTAAATTCAACACGTTGTGGGATTAACTAACTTGTATTTTATTTGCGGCCAAATTGTGTTGTTAACTTGGCCAAAACACACGCACACACACACACACACACACACACACACACACACACACACACACA